CGGTGCCTAGTTGCCATGCCACCCGAAGGTTGCACGAGGGCTGGAATACTGCCAGGTTGCCCAAACCTGGACAAGGGAAGTCGAGAGGCAGAGGTCGGGTTCGAACCACCGACCTTCCGGTCAGCAAATTCGCGCTCTAACCACTGGGGCCATCTCGCCGTTTCATGAGTTTTGCCCCAAGTACTCCGGAACTAAGAAGGATGGGGAAGGCAGAGTACTCAGAGCCCCAAACAGCAGCGGTCCGTATGGCTAGCGCATACTGGCGTTTCAGCAGAAATACTCAAAAATAAGGCTAATGTTGCGAGACGTATACCGCACTTGAAAGGTACTTTTGCGCTGTTCCATAAATCCAAACGGTTTCTAAGCGTAGAAGCTGGGGACGAAACATATGTTCAAACAGCATTGGCCGCAAAACTCATAGTAACAACTGATCAGCCATTATACTCATCGTCGTGGTTCCTTCCATAAATCCAAACGGTTTCTAAGCGTAGAAGCTGGGGGCGAAACAGGTGTTCAAACAGCATTGGCCGCAAAGCCCATAGTAACAACTGATCAGCCATTAGACTCATCGTCGTGCACGAACACTGTGGTTGGTGCACGACGAATACGAGAGTCCTGCTCAGGAACCGTTCGCCATATCTGTCCCAGTTCTCAACCAAGGAGGCTTCCATCTGTGGACCAGCCTGGTAAGAGTATAATTGTGCTTAGTATTCGCGCATCCCGAGTTGCTGAAGGGCACAGACCTTCACATCGTGACAAGATCAACTTTGTCCGAGATAGAGTTCGCATTGCCGCGGAACCATCTGTTCCGCCAATAATACTATGAGAGTTAGGTTGATTGAACGGGTGTTAACTGTTTCGGTTTTAGGACGAGAAAGTCCATGATTCGAGACCTGACTTTTTGGCTGATTTGGCCCAGCCGCAGACTACCTGACATTCGTGCTTAGGACGGGTTTCGCGGTAGGAATTCACATGGTGAGGCTACAGATGAGCGGTATGCTCAGGGTGTGCATACATACGAATTCAATAAGAGCCAGTCAAGTTGATTGACGGGATTTCAGTGAATCAACCTGAATTCTCCGAGTACGAACACAGACTTCACCAAGAATATCGAGTTTTACCCCAAGACGGTCAAACGGATGCCATGTGGAATACGGTGAGATGCAAGAACTAACCATTGCGACTCCTCTCAGTGACCACTGATGGAACGACCGCAAGCAGCGAGAGTAGGCTTCTGTGGCTGCCACACTCAAACTGTCGTCCTGCACTGCCCCTCTTCTGTCCGCGACATCGTCAGGGGAAGGAGGTGGGAGGGTGAAGAGCAAATGAAGGAACTCGCGAACAAAGTTGAGCGACCTGTGAAAGTAGCCGGAAAAAAAACAGATTGTAAGTGAAGTTGAGACGACCGAATGACGCGTCGGAACGGGATTTCCACACCTCATGACCCGAAGAACGTAGTCTGAGAGTATCTGCTACCTCGGTAACCCGAGATAGTTTTATTCACACAACACTGCCTTGAACTTAAAAACTTACTATAAGGTACTTGATAATATGTTCTGAATTCACCAAGCTTTCATTTCGAACGGGTGAAACTTTTAACCCAAGCACAGGTAAGCTTTACAGAAACTCTGCCACAGAACACTTACGAGGCCGTTCACAGTTACGTTACAGACAATTTTACTTAACGGGTCGACTAGTGAGCACCCGATTCGGTATATAAAAAGCAGTACAATTGAGCGAGGTATCAGCTGATTAGCGCGAATCTAGTTCACCTCGCCTACTGCATCCAGCTTGATAATGCGTAATCC